GGGGGGGGGGGGGGGGGGGGGGGGGGTATCACGTTGTCTAACCAACCCCAGTCCCACCTTCAGCTTGAATCCAGCCATCCAGATGACAGTGGAGTTCCCTGTGATGCCCAGCACCACCGTCAGGGTGAGGAGAACTTTGGTGACGTTGTCCATGGCCCAGTCCATGTCCACGGCCCAGTCCATGTCCACGGAGGGTTCCAGACCCGGACCAGAGGTGTTTGGAGGCATCCTGTGTCAGCGCAGAGAGAAAAACCCTGGAACCAAAGTCCACGGAGGAAATGAGAGAAAAATCTGAAGATGTAAGCGTGTGAACCGTGTCTTTCTTTTCCAGCAGGTTTTGTGGTCGACCGGCGTCCGTGGCCTCTGGTAACGCTGGACTATTGCAGTATCTTGTGGTATGTTTTAACACTACAACAAGCAGAAGTAAAGTGACAAACACAGAAGTTAAGTCAAAAACAAAAAAAAGTTCTCATGAACTAAAAGTGGAACATCACAGGCAGACGGACGGACACACACCTCGAGTCAGTGCCTCAGCCTCCACGTGACGATTTACAACCGAAATAAAACAGGTTCAGATGGAGCTGACTCACTGTGTGTGTGTGTGTGTGTGTGTGTGTGTGTGTGATGTTTCCACTGTTTTGTAGCTGCAGGACTTCGTGAGCAGCTCGACCACAGTCACCGACCCTGCAGCTCATCAACCTTTATCTACGCCACAGATTTCAAACAACAACGACGACAACGACGCGTCCCGACAGGTTGAGTTCGCCACGGAACGTACGACTCACACACTCTCATCACAACATCCTGTTCATAAATGCTCTTTACCACAAAAACGCAGGAACACAGGAGCTGGCCCACTGCTGCCTCCTGTGGTGGGTCTGTGTCACTGGAGTAAAACAGTTGTAAAATAACACATTTAAGTCTGTAGACTTTTTCAAATCAAACCTCTTTCAGACTTCCTTCTGTCAGTATCAGGGTCTGAATGACCTTTGACCTGTTGTTCTGAAACATGGACAGATTTTGAAAACAGTGGATTCTTCTAGAATGAAGTAAAAACGTAAAAACGGAAGTTCTTTTTGTACTGTGTCCCACTGCGGACCACGACCAAATGAGCTACGGACCAGCACCGGTCCCTGGACCAGAGGTTGGGCACCCCCCCCCCCTTATTTTTACTTCACTCAGCAGCAGAAACCCGTGCTTCAAACTCCCAGTGTTTGACTGAAGCCGACGCCTCGGTGGTTGTTTGGTTTGGGGCAAAAAAGGGGAAGTGACCAAAGCTGACGGACCGCGTCCTTCTCTGGTCCAGAATCAGTCCTCCACAGACGGTCACAGACACAGGAGGAGGAGGAGGTGAAGAGGAGACCACTCTTACCTGTGCAGTGAGGATGAGGAGCTGAAGAAGAGTTGGTGAAGTCAGGCCGACGGCAGCAACTGAATTAAAGCCCAGAGGAAATGTGTCGACCGCTTCCTTCTGCCAAAAAACAGAGATGCTGAGGTGTGAGCTGTCGATGGTGTGAGCTGTCGATGGTGTGAGCTGTCGATGGTGTGAGCTGTCGATGGTGTGAGCTGTCGATGGTGTGAGCTGTCGATGGTCTGAGACGGTGATGAAATCAGAGGAGCTGTGATGTCACAGACAGACAGGAGCTCCAGCATGTGTTTCAGCAAGTGTAGATCAAACAGACCACAGTTTTCTGTTCCCTCTCCTCTGGATGTGGTGGACCAGCAACTGCTGGTGTGTTGCTGCCCCCTGTGGTCATTTTCTGTCACTTCAAATGTCACAAATTAAAAATGTAGAATATAAAAATCACAAAGTTTAAACGTATTTAAACGCAGTCACACAAACTGACCACAGGGGGCAGCAGTGGACCAGCGGCTGTCCAGCTTGAGGAGTTTGTTCTAAGGCTTCTGTGGAGTTTTCTGATGTGTTTGATTGGTCCATGGATCTCACGCCTGAAACTCCATGTCAAGACTTCCTTCCTGTTAAACATCAGCAGTTTTTGATTTTCTGTTTCTCTCCTGGTTCCTGTATCGAGGTGTTTCACCAAAAACAGTGAGTTGACAAAAACAGGAACCATTCGTCCATGCCCAAACACAGATGACCGCTGACCTCAAGGCTTGGCCCCAACATTAACCTGAGCTCAACTAAGCTGACCCTGACCCTAACACCACTCTTCATCTTATTGTGTGATAAGTTCAAATGTGTTTCATCTTTTATTTCAACATCATTTTCCCACAGTTTCTTTCTTCTGAATCAAAAGTGAATCCTTGTTACAGCAAGAAAAGTGAAGTCTCCCCATGTTTGACCACTTCCTCTTTCGCTGCCCTTCGCACAGAAATCAAGACCTGCTGAAGTCAAATGTCAAGACAGAAGAAACACACACACGTGCACACACAGAGGGAGGTTTATTCACCAGTCACACACACTCAGATATTCATTTTGATGGTGTAAAGGAAAAAAAACCTTCCGAAAATGTTATGGGGCTGTGCTACCCTCTGGTGGCTAAAAGAGAAATTACAGGTTGAACCATACATGATCTGTTTGTCCCATTTTAAAAAGAGGAAAAATTATATTTTTAAAGTTGGTATTTCTCAATGTTCCGAATGATGTGTAAAATAGTTTCCCTATAAACAATAGACACTAAAAAGCAATCCACTAAATTATTATTATTATTATTATTATTATTACTACAAAAAAAATTCAATTTTTTGGAACGCAGCTGTTTGTTAAACATTAGAACAAAATCAGAAAAAATAATTGTCACATAGTTTTGTTTTATTGTATGTTATTTTTAATCCAAATCCACAAGAGCGCAGCATCAGTTCACATACTCCATTGAAATGAAACAGTTAATCGTGTTGATGAGCAATACGTCTCAGAATCCTGTGTAGAAAATATTATACAAATAGTTTTAAAGGGTTATTTTTATTTATTGTTATTTATAGTATACATGTATACGTATATTGTTTTTATTTTGAGGGGGGAAGAGTAAGCATGCTGCACCACAAGAAGCGGAAGACTCAAACCGGAAGTTACATTGACCCTTGAAAAACAAATGTTGTAAACAAGTTTTTCTTTTTATTAGAAGAAAAAGTGCATGTGGTAGCTTATATGGTAACAATTCAATGTAACGTTTACTTTTGCAAAATAAAATCCCCCGAAGAAGAAAAAAAACCCATTTTGACATCAAGTTAGCTTGCGTGTTTGTGGACGGCGGGCGGAAACCGTCACAGTTAGCATGAATATGCTAATTCCCGGAAAGGTAAATTTGTGTTTATTGCCTACATTGGTAAGTAACGAAGTCTCTGATTATAATTAATATGTATTTAGAAATGTGTGATTTTGTTGTTTAAGTTTAAAACTGTGTACGTGTAGAATTTGGTGATTAATCACACTTTTTCGCCCTGAAAAGTGTGATTTATCCAGAGTGGCGGTGTTAGCGGTGACTTAACCTGTACGAATACAAATCGCACCTAGATGGCGCCATTACGTTAAAAACGTGTGTCCAGGACTAATGTACATGGTTTTGACAAAAACAAACCACTAATATTTAAAACCTGTGGCTTTACCGACACTTTAACTATTAGTTACAGTCACATATACGTCACAAATGTAAATGAAGGCCTGAAAATTCATCTTCTCCATCTGCAAATAATTTTGGCCAGGGTAGGAGAAAAACTATAAAATAAAATAACAGTGGTTTTAAATTGTGCCGAATTATCTTGTGATGGTCTCCAAAGGTCTAGACTGGTCTAGTCGCGGTCGGTCCACAACAGGTGGCTGTCACAGTTATATGTGACCGTCATGCTAACGTGACGGTCACCCTGTGATGCTGGAGAGGACCAGAATGTTCCAGAAGATCTGTGTTGATGGCCGTCATTTATCTGTGGAGTTTAATCTGTGAGCGGTGAAGGTCGTCGAGCTCCTCAGATGGAACTGCAACTGGAGGAACCAAACACGGAGCAGTGATTTTAGAAACACACTGGTCTTTATCTTTTTGAAGCTTTCAAGGCTGATGATATGTTTTCAACAAGGTCACACACACACACACACACACACCTGAGGTTGACGTCAGCAGCTTGATTACAGACGACTGACGTTGACTTTAAACAGTGTTTAAAGGAATGGTGACGACACATTCCTGAAAAGTTGGAAGTGTGTTTTCATCCTATCAGATGAAAACACACACACACACACACACACACATACATGCCATAATCCAGCTTTAATCTCAGAAACACAGATCTTCATCTGTGGGATTCCACCGACAGTTTTTGTTCATTTTACTTCTGTGCTGGATTTGAAACTATATTTAAAACCATTGAATCAGTGACCGATCACATCAGGCCATAAAAACGTTTTTTACTCCAAGATTAAACCTTAAAGTATGAGGTTTTTATTTCTGGAGTTAAATTCCAAACATCTTTGTGATCAGACTCAGACTCGTGGATTTAAAGTCAAAGTTTGACATCAGGGAGAACTTTCTATCAAACATGGAATTTAAACCTTGCTAATTAAATAAAAGTAAAAGTTTGTTTGAAAAATAAATGTTTATTTTCAGACAGAAACATCGATTCAAAACATCAATGATAATTTCCATGAAACTAAAGAGTTTCAGATCAGCTCATCACAGGAACCGGATCTGTTGGTGAATCAACCCTGATATTTCACTCTGCAAATTCAAAACACTAATGTGTACTTTTAACCCTTCAGAGTCACTGGTTTCCATGGTGACGGTTAATCCTCTGCCACAGGAAGGTCCACGTCAGGACTAGAACCAGGAATGTGTGTGTTTTTACCTAAAAGATTGGACCTGGGAACACGGGTTCTAAAATGTCAGTAATTATGAACCGTCAGACTGAGACGAGACGAGACGAGACGACCTGTTGGAACACATTCACTTCACTGTGTGTGTGTGTGTGTGT